GGCAGGGTACTGCTTCAAGGCACCAGCATTTAAGGTGCAGTGGGAGGCCCAGAGCCTCCAGCCCAAGAAGTCACCTATTCCTACCAAAAGGGCAGCATCCTAGCTGGGCACGTTGGCACATACCTATAATCCCAGCACTTGGGAGGCAGAGGCAGAAGGATCACTACAAGTTCAAGACTGGCCTGGGCTACAAAGTGAGCCCAAGGCCAGCCTGAACTGCATAGTGAGACCCATAGTGTCTCAAAAAAAAAAAACCAAAAACCAAAACCAAAACCAAACCAAACAAAAAAAGGGCATCATCCTAATTATGTAAAACCTTGAATTAATCCAGTGATTATTACATAACACACAAGGTGGCAGGGACAGTCGTGATTGTGGCCAGCTGCCAGTTGTAAAGGGACTCAGGGAGGACTCTGCTTTCCAGATCAGTCTTGACTTTTGACCTGAGCCCTGCATTCCCCTCCTCTGGCCATGCCACTCCTTATGGGGTGAGATATCCCCAAGTCCTGGAGACAGTCCCCTATAAGACTTTGATGAGTGCCTGGCCTTTATTCCCTTTCCAGGCCAAGCTCTGGCTACTAGGACTACAGAATTCCCCAGCCAAATGGCCTGCTGGCTGCATGGGTCTTTTCCCAGGAAAATCCTTCTAGGGAGGGTACACTGTTTCCTCTTCCCTTGGGTTTGAGAGTTGGCCAAAGGGCAGCCACTTGCTTCTGCTTGTGGGACCACACCTGAATACACATGCATGCATGTGGGGGTCTCCTCTGCAGTGCAGAACAGGGAGGAGGTAATTTACCACAGGGCCTTCATTTGTGATCAGGCCTGAGTCCTGAAAATGCTAGGTGCTGGGATGCCCATAGATCTGCCTGTTGGAGACAATCAAAGCAAGACTTGGTGACACTGCTGTATCCCATGTCCTGGTCATCAGCGACACTTAGTGCTATCTAGTTCCTCCCTGTATCCCAGGCTACAGCCACATTGGTGTTGGTGGTGGCAAGGAGCAGAGGGCTGAGCGTGAGCCTTGTTGCATGCCTTCTTGCAAATATGAACACCTACGCACAGAAGAGGGGGAGAGGGGTTTAAATACACCAGTGTGTTTGGGTGACTGTGAGTGAGTGAAGCGGAGCAAGCAAAGCAGAGGGAAAGAGGCGAGAAGGATGGGGACCATGCAAATGAGTGTGTACAGAAGGGAGACAGCACTGTGTACCCATGCGGTGGAGAAGGCAGTGCCTACCTGCAACCACCTCGCCTGCAACAGGACCGGGGAGTGTGCATGACTAAAGGCCTGGGAAGAAGACAGAGACTGCAGAGAATCCTAGCTTTTATGCATGTGTATGAGAGGTGGGGTGCAGTAATGGGGGAGAGACAGGCCTAAAGGGGGATGGAAAATGCTAGCGAGTCTGTCTATGTCCTGGAAGCAAGCGTGGGGGAAGCGGGTGGATGGAGCGGTGGAGCCAAGAAAGCTGATTGTGCAAGAGGAAGGAGACACGCAGGTGTGTGTCCTTTGGAGGTATGTGCCTGCCCCCACAGGGCCCTGTGGGAACGAGGCATGCCACGTGCCTGGTGACTGTGTGGGTATGTGCACGTGTGTGCGTTAGCGCGTGGCTGTGTCAAGTGAGAACACGAGTGTGCACACACACGTGGGAGTGGGGGAGGGTCTGTGTGAGCTGCCTGGGAGTGCTGAGATGCCTGGGGATGCTTTCACTCTGGAAAGATCAATCTGAGAGGACTCTATGACCCGCCTGATGCTAGCTCAGGTTTGGGTGACCATGGCTGGGAGCTGTGGCAGTGTCGCCCTGCCCAGAGGTATGTGTGGGACTGAATGAGTCACCCAGGCATGGCTGGTCCTCACTCTGCCTGCCTCTTCCCAGCGGGGAAGGCAGCGGGGAGGGGAAGAGAGGACTCAAGGGCTGTATTTTTACACCAGCCTTATGCAACTGCTTGCAGCATGCATGGCTCTCTCCTGGCCTATACACTGCTGTTCCTTTCATGTCCAGGTGGCAGTTTAGGTCAGGGGCTTTGGCTGGCAAACATTCATGGTAACCTACCCCACACCAAGTCAGGTCCACATATTTACAATGCCAAACTACCTCTGAGTCTTTCCCACCCACTTTTTAATTTCCTTTATAACACTTAGCGCTATTTGCCAGATTATCTATCTTACTCACTTACTGCCTATGTTTCCTTTAATAGCAAATGCCTATATAGCACTTGGTACGTGCCAGCCCCGTGTGAAGCTCTCTATTAATTCATCAAATCATCCTCCAACAATCCTACATTGCAGTGATTATGATTCTTGCCATTTTGTAGATGTGGGGGACCCTTGGATGACCCCACTGTATTGCTTGCTTTCTTGCAAATATGGTGGGTGTGCAGCCCCTGCTCTTACTCAGCACATAAAATACTGTGCTGTGATGGGGAGCTTTTCTTAGTGTGGTTAATGTTGAATCTCCAGGGGTTACAGTAGCACCCAGCATATGTAGGTGCTCAATTAATAGTGAATGAATGAAGAAATGAGTGTATAAATACTGGGCTTGGAGGGACTGATAAAATAGAGAGCTACTTGCCTTCACAGGGCTCACAGTTCCATGGAGGACACATAATGACTGCAACACCATCCTGGGATGGCATCATGGGAATCTACGGTGGGCTCATCTTGCCTGGCAGTAGAAAAGGCTTCTCAAAGGAGGGACACAGAAAGGGACAGGCATAGTGACACTACCTACCTCCTCCAAACTCCTCCCTGGGGACACACATCCCTTAATTCTGTCTCAGTCCACAGGGTGCTGGAAAATGACAGTAGCTCCATAGGGACAACAAGGGCAGAACGGGTGCATCTGGCTCTGGAGGTAGATTGCCTGGGCTGAATCTCGCCTCTACCAAACACCAGCTAAGTAACCTTGAACAGGAAGCCTGGCCTCCCTGGGCCTGGGTGGTCACATCTCTAAGGTGGGGGTAGCGATGGTTCCAACTTTGTAGGGTACCGTGTAAGGAAGGCAAGGCGCCAGCTTCAACGCACATGACTAACACTGTGCCTGCATTCTACCTTGTGTGCTGGCTTTGGGGGAGGAATGGAGGGAGAGAATTAAACACATTGTGCTTCTCATTATCTCTGCTATGGCTTCATCCCATTTTTCAGAAGTAGCTCAAAGCAGAACTCATCCGTGAACCTTTACCGGGGGAGGCACTACGCTACCCCAGATGTAGCAGCTGCTCGACAGGTATTTGATGAATGACTGATTACATTTTTTATGCCTCCAGGACCTTTGTAAGGATAAGTATTTATGTGGCTTTTGTTTTCTTTTACAAAGGACTGGAGGTTCACCGAGGTTAAGGGAAACACAGTCTGTGAGCAGAATAACCAGACTCACACGCCAAACCCCATGTTGTCCTCCACACCACGTTACTCCCTGGACTCCTATGCATCATGTCCTACTTTCCATGGGTTGTTCTCCTTGCCAGTGGGGCCATCCCTGCCTGTAGAACCATCTCCAAATGCTATGAGTCATCTCTGAATCACAGAACTGTTTCGGAGTTGAAAGGGACTTTTGATGTCATCTACACCTCCCACCCACTGTGGAAATTTCCTCTCCAGGGCCTATCTTCGCAATTCTTGAATGCCTCTAGCGATGAGACACTCATTTTCTTCCTCTGGACTCATTAAGTTCTATGACTGGACCACTTTTATGGTTAGAAAGTCGCATATCCTGTGGGCTATCGGGCCTCTTTCATGTGCAGGTACTGGGCTTGTGTCATCTGCCTACGACACAAACAACAGGTCTGCCCCCTTCACACAACAGCCTTCTGAGGAGTCTTCTCTTCCAGCCAGCTGTTTCCAATCTCCATGACGATGGCTCCTTCCACAGCTGGACAGGCTGTTCAAATGAGCAATGGTGCCCCTACTGGACAATGGGGGAACTGCACCAAGGGGCTCACTCAAGGGGTCTGAGCCTTTTTATCAGGAAGCAGGCACTCACACGAGTGTGAATAAGTAGCTACTTATTGCAATGTGATGAAAAAAAGCTAAAAATAGCAGGCTATGGTGGTTCATACCTGTAATCCCAGCACTCAGGAGGCTGAGGCAGGAGGCTGCTTTGAGTTTGATGCCAGCCTGGGCTACACAGTGAGTTCAGGGACAGCCTGAACTACATAGCAAGGCCTTGTCTCAAAAAAAAAAAAAAAAAAAAAATCATAGAAGAGATAAAAAACATTTATAAAAAGAAAAAATTAAAATCCTGTCTTGGTCCATCACAGCCTGGGTCTGTGATCTCCAACTGACAGAAGTGCTGCTGCCCAGTGGGGTGGGAGCCTTGGTCGTGTCTCCATTGTGACCGCCATGGCCGGGGAGCAGACAGCTAGAATCCCACCAGGGGACTTCTGGAGTCTCCAGCAGCAGCAGGTGCACACTGAGCAGGGCCCTCAGCAAGGGTGCAGGTAGCTCTGCACTACATCCTCTCCCCTCCTGGTGCAGGCTGTACTCATGTGGTTTGTGTCTCCCGTTCTTACCTATTGAGGTCTGTTCCCTGCCCTCCTACATTGCCAGCCAATGTTCTTATCCTTATTGGCCGTAGGCCCCAACCTTCCTGCTTCCCTCCATTTCCCAGCATGCTCTGGGCTGCCTGCTCTTCCTCTAAGTGAGCCTAGAGTGACTCCCAATGATAAGAGGATGGAAAGACATCAGGGATTAGAAAAACAAATCTCCATTTAAAGTTGGTTACCATTTAAAGTTGGCACACTCCTGTCATCTCTGCACCCAGGAAGCTGAAGCAGAAAGATCATTGCAAGTTTGAGACCAGCTGGGGCTCCAAGTGAGCCCAAGGCCAGCCTGAACTACATAGTGAGACCCTGTCTCAAAAACACAAAAGCCAAATCCCCCAGAAATTAAGACCTCGGAGCAGCATAATTTCTCCAGCAAGTTCACAGCCACCAGGCTCTCCTCCCCCACCCCCACCCAGTTGTCCCTGTTCTCCGGGAGCTCAGGGGCCCCCGGGGAGACTCACCTGGCAGCCTCTCACTGCAGCACATGTCCAGGGCTCCTCCTGTGCAGTCATCAGCAGTTCGGTTCTGTCTCTCTCCTGCAGTAGGAGGGAAAACGTGAGAGGAGGCTGCTGAGCTGGGATCAAGATGAAACCCTGGGCCAACAGGTTAAGGGCTTCTTCTCATGCACTCGGGGGCCCTCTGAGCAACCCAGCTTCACCAGAGACACCTGAAGGAAATACGAACCTGTCATGGGTCACTGCAAAGGCGGGAGTGGAGAACTGCAGGCATTTTCCCTGTAAAATCACCATCACCACCATCATCAACCTCTCTACCATGGAAGGAGGGCTTAGTATGTACAAAGCCCTTCACAAACTTTACTGCACTGCACAGTACACCGAGACCTCCTCAGACTCCCATGAATCAGGGATTGAAGGGGCTCAGAGAGTTAAGCAACTTGCCTAAGGTCACACAGCTCATTAGAGCTGGGTATGAAATTATAATCTGGTACTCCACGCTCAGGCTCCGATCTCTGTGCTATTCTGCCTCCTAGTTACTGTGTTTTGAATAAGAGATGAGCAGCAAGAGGGGTGTGGGCAGGACACAGTTCAGATGTGCCAGTGCCCCGTGTCTCAGGCAGCAGGTAGACCTCTTCTCCTGAAACATCTGGGAACAGTCGTAATGATGCATTTTGCACCTTCTTAATGTTCTTTTTTGAAATGAGAGTCTTCTTCTTTCTAGTTCTAAAGCTTTTCTCCTTTACCTGGTAAGCTGGAAAAAGGTTGCAGGAGATGAGCAGTACCTCATAAAATATCTTTAGAGTCGCTGTACCCCAAGGGCAGCCACGGCACCCACTGAGATCCCCTACTTTGGCAAGGGCCTGCAATGCAGATGAGAGTCGAAATGTCCCTGCCCACCCTTCAGTCTCTGACCCTTGGCAGTCACCAGCTGACCCAAGGCTGGATACACAAGCCCAGCGGGGCCCGCCAGCTCCTTTGCCTGCAGTTTATGATGTGCTCTGCAGGGCCTGGCACTTGGGTTGCTGGTGCCGAGTCACGGCCACGTGGTGCCCTGCAGGGAAGGCTGAAAGGTGGGCAGCTGGGGCCTCAGACCTGTCTTGTTCCTTCCGCTTTGAGCCTGGATGTCTGAGTCCAAGAGACCCCCCAGGATCCTCACAACAGATCCCTACATTTTAGTGAAGCTGGTAGGATCTGTGTTCTGAAACTGGCAACCCAAAGCATCTTTCCTAGGGATGCCCTGTGCAACACTCCTACACACTCAGGAGGCCGCGGTCTCTCTGCCCACCTGCCTTGCAACCAATCTTTCCCCTCTACTGGCCCTGGGGCCTATTTCAGGCCCAATCATAGATTTTACATTATTAAGGGCTGACAGGCCAGATGGAGGGAACCCTTCTGTCTCTGATACCTTGTGCTTTCCATGGAATTGTTTTATTTTTCTTCCTCATTCCACTTGCCAAGGTCTCCGAGAATCCTAAGTCCCGGAGCCCAGTCTTCTACAGAGAGAGGGACACGAAGTCTAAGGGAAATGTCTAACGCTAAGGGCTCTCTTTGTTTCATCGTCTCTGGCACCCACCTAGGCTGGATGCTAAAACATTCTCCACCCACTGCCAAAGCACATGTCCTCCATAGACCACATAGTTTACAACCTGTACAATTGGACAGGGCCAGCTTCAGAAAGAGTCATTTCCTTCAGACTAAAACCTACCACATCAAACTCCTTGAAACCACATTTTTATGGCATCCTAATTTACTTATAACAGAGAAAAATTCTTGACATAGCTTACTAGCTCTTGCACGGACTGGCTCTCTTTAACTCTCTAATTTTAATTTAATCTTTCTTTTCACTTCTGCATTCCAGCAGCTCCAGACAGGCCCTTTTCTTCACCTGTTCTCTGCCTGCAGGGCTCCTCCAGCTCGGTTTCCCAGCACATTTTACTCAGAGTCCTTGATGTGGCTGGGAATTCCGTTTTAATTTATGCCACTGCTTGACATGTCAGTCTTGGCCGTCAGACTACAGGCTACATGTGGGCTACAAAGGGCACCACGTCTGGTTTACTTACCACTGTATTTTCAAAGCCTAGCACTGTACCTGGCTCACGGTAGAGTGTTCAATTAATAAACAAACACTTGTGCAATAAGTGAATGTTGCCTCTACATTCTGGAGAAGCATAAGGGACCTCAAACACAGCCCTTATTTGAGCTATGTGTGCACAGCTCTTTGCAAAGCCACTTGGAATTTCCCCCCACAGCTGTTGTTTAGATTAGAGAACCGCAGATCTGGAGGGCCTCTCATTTCACAGAGGGGAAACTGCGGCAGAGAAAGTGGGTCTGACTTCAGGGGCCCCAGGGACTGGGTTCCAGAGCTTCTACCCCTGCCCCAGCCTCCCAATCCTGAGCTTGCTCTCTTCACCTCAGGAGGGCACCCACAGTGGTGGGGGGCACAAAGGTAACCAAAGTGTCCAGCTACCTCTGGAGGGGACTCACGTGTGACTCACACCTGCTGTCACATCTTAAGCCTCTAGGCCACCAGCCTCGTTCAGAATAGCTCAGGGCTGTGTGCGTGCTGTGGACTCTATAAATAAGCTTCCTAGAAAATGACTAATTTCATAAGCAGAAAAGCAGAAAGAGTAGTACCTCTCGGCTACAGAGGAAAATAGAGCAAGAGCCCACTGCTCTGCCCTGCCAGCGAGCAATTCCAGGCGCCCCTGGCTGAAAGCTGCATGTCTAGGCTGCTCAGGGCAGGGTTTAATCAGATTTCCAGAGGGAAGAGAGGCCCATTCAAGCTGGATGAAGAAGCCCAGTCTTGGCCACTGCGCTCCTCCCTGCCCACCAGGAGCAGAAATAGCAGCCTGTAATGGATTGCTGCAGGCTCCTTCTCTCTCCTCCTCCTCCTCCTCTACTTCTATCAGCCAGGCAACAGGAGCAGAAAATGGCCCCTGTCAACAGGCAGCAACTCACAGGGCTGGCCCCCCAATGTTGCTCTTAGAACCAGACCATCCCGCAGATAAAGGTGCTCATTCAGCAAGTGCCTCCAGCTCTGGGCCTCCAGCAAGCAAGGCCCAGAGTCACCCCAGGAGTGAGGCATGGACAAGCCAGTCCCTCTCACAGCTCCAGTCTTTCTGGGGAGACAGACAGGATTGCACCCCAATGCTTCCTTCACTGACTATAAAACAGAGGACTCAACCTGGTGTGTGGTGAGGGACAGTGGAAAGACAGGGGCTCGTTCTCAAAGGATTTTTCTAGGTGCAAGACAATATGTCTTCAGCAGTACAAATGGTAAGACCAAGGCTCAGACGCCTGAGATGCACGAATATTTGGAGCTGCCCAGAAGTAGGCTGGTCAGTGGGATGGTAAGCAGACGGGCCTCCAGGCCTCAGAGTAACCACCAGCCCAGGCAGGAATCCTGTCTTCTGAGTGGGAAGCCCTCTCTCACTGGACTGCAGCCTCTCTGAATCAAAAGGGTTGCATGGACTCCCTACACTTTGTCTGGGCTGGAGCAGGTTGGTAACAGGAAGAGGACATTAGATTCAGTGGTGGTATCTGATCTAGTCCCAAACTACTTTCATTTTTTCATTGTGACAAAAGAGTCACCATGTTAAGCCCCACAACTCGGTAGCGGTTAACACGTTATAATGTTGTGACGCATCATTATCTATTTCAGGAGTATTTTAGCATCCCAAAAGGAAAGCCCCTACATCCAACTGCTGTGACCCGTGCAGCCAGTGGGGTCTTGAGAGGGAGCAACAGGAGAGTAAGGAAAAAGTAGACACACACTAAAAGGAAAGCTAAGACTGGGTGTACCTGGCCTGTCTGATAGAGAGGCAGCGACACCCCAGCATTGTCTACGTCTTTATTTATACAGAGTAAAAAAAGGGGGGATGGTGGAAGTGCATGATAGGGCCAAAACATGCAAAGCCTCAGTGTTTTGCTGAGAACACTGAAAGGGGAACACTCTCAGAGCTGTCTGTGCTGCTGTTAACAAGAGGGAGCATTAAGGCAGACCCCTGCTGGACTGGCTTTGCTGTGGACCCAACAACTTGCTCACATGGCTCCCTCTGGTGCTCCAGGTTCCCAGGGCTGGCCTTGCTCTAGTCTGGATGTGTGGCCAAGCTCCAGCTCAGCATCTCCCCACAGCCATCCTCCGCTCCCTTCCAGCCCCCGGCAAATGCTGATTTGCTTCCTTTCTCTATGGACTTTCCCACTGGGCACATTTCATATGCACGGATTCATGCAATGTGTAGCCGTTTATATCAAGTTTCTTTCAGTTAGCATAATGTTCTCTGTCTCCACCCAAGCTGATACCATTATCAGTACTGTACTTTCATCTTTTTTTAATGGCTGAATACTTTTCCACAGTATAAACAGGACTTTGTCCATTCATCAGCTGATGGATATCTGAGTTGTTGGTTGCCTTTTGGTTATTGTGAACAGTGCTGTTACAAACTAGATTACCCTTACACATCACACTCCCAACAAGCCTGTTTTGGGAGAGATTTTCCTTCCTTTGGACCCGAGTCTTCACCTATAAGATAGTCAGAATCTAAGCCCTTTGTCACTTGAATGTCATCCCCTTTGTTGATTTGTGTCTTTGGCACTAACATTACTTTATAGTTAACTCCAACAGTGCTGGGAGCTGGAGACCCAGAACGCACCAACCACCCCAACTTTCCAAGCTCAAGGCTGCTGTGGGCAGGATGGAGTGGCTAGCAGAGGCTGTCTGGGAAGGGCTGAGGCACCATCGCTCTGTCTGGAGGTGGCAGGTACTATTACGAGGCTTCCTGGATGCTAACTCTGTCCAGTGCTCATAGAGAGGGATTACAGGTTTGGAATGCTAGGTGCAGGGGCTTGGGGGCTACCTCTAAGGTGGGTAAGGGGTGAGGAGGCGATGGGACATGAAGCCAGGATTCTGGGAGTGCAGCTGAGCCCACCCCAGGCATGCTCTCTGCCCTGGATTCCACGCCTCAGGGGTCCTTCAACACTGTCCTGCACTATCCTTTAAACTTCTGCCAAATTTTCCTCACTTTCCAAGACTCTACGGTGCACCTTTCCCTACAATCACTTCCTAATCTCCCAGGAAA